ATGACAAGTTTTGAAAACCGACACACAAGCGCCGTAAGCGACACGAGAACACGTAGACGGGTAAAACTCAAGGTTGGGTCGGTGCAACCTTTCACTGATCTCGGTCCAGGAATGGATGCAGCGCGCAAGGTGCTTTTAGAAAGACCCGCCGACTCGCCCCGAGTTCCGGTTCGGTTACGTAACCGTCAATTGGTTCGACGATTGACTCGATATTGACTCGATCTGTTATATTATCACACCTATTGAAGAAGCTGACGGTTTATGCGACGTCAGCACACACTTTTGATTCATTCCAGCCAGTTAGTCCGTCTCCGACAACCTTCTCGAAAGCTCATCTCTCATATTCAATTGTAATTTCTTATTAAAATATATATGTATTCGAGTCCAAAGTAAATGTCTTTTTTTTTAAATTAATATTCCGATCCCCGTATAATAAACAGAGCGTTCGACGCGTTCTCATCTGGATCCGGTGTAGCGTGTTCGAAACGTTATCGATTTTGTTTGTAATGTGAACGATTTGAAATACGTCTATTGTTGCAATAGTCAAATTGAAAATATTGTTGCATTTTCATTGATACAAAATTAGACTGAAAAATCGTTAAGCTAAGTGGTCGTTAGCTGCTTTTACCGGGTTTTGCTATTTCATCCAATTATTTCAATGAAATTTTACAAATAATTTATAAAGCATGATACAATATCTTCGGATACGAGCCCCGACATCACACATTTATTTATTTATTTATCTGCGAAGCGCTGCTAATTTTACTGTGTCTTTTGGACTATGCAGCATCATGTGCTGCTCCGATGGACAGGCACGTCCAGAGAAAAAGTACGGTCAAAGATAACGTTCCGTATAGCGAGTGAGGTAAGCGGGGCCACACTTTTAAAAGGTTGGCAACGCATCCATAACACATTGTATATGTCCATGGGCGGCGGTAATCACAACATCGGCGGTAAATCATGCGAGGCCCGCTTGCCAACTCACGTTTGAAATAGCAGGCGACATTGTTAACACCCATTCATAGACACTTTTCGCAAACTTGCGTAGAATGTTGTTAATTGCCTTAAAAGTTTACGTTAAGACGTAGCTTATAAAGAAATACTAATATCCTATAATGCCGACGCAGAGTTTGACCCTTAACATTTCAGATGCCGACATCTCAGTGATCGAAGGCCGTCACTCGACGGGGCAAATGTCAGCTGCTGACAGGTGCGGACGGAGCTCTGTTTAGGAAGTGGCCCGACCCTCGAGGGCTTTGCTTCCTTTGCGTGGCAACACCGAGCGAAGAATCGTATAAGACGAAAGACACACGTAATAAAGTGAAAGCGTGGAGTGCGCTCTTACGCCTGACTTACAGAAAATTTTTGTAAGTAACTTGTATTTTAAACAGGAAACGATTAATTTTCGGTTATTTTTTTTACTTTTAAAAACTCGTTTTATTTATATATGTACATTTACTTTCCCGTATTATTATAAAATCTTAGGATGTTGGGAAGACTTTCGTAATGCAAAATATTAGTGCTAGCTTCCCAATATAATCGAAGTTTTTGTAAATAACAACAGATACAAAAGACAATTATACAAGTGTAAAGAAATCAGCAGTTAAAACAAGATGAATAAAAAAAAATCAGTTAAAAAATCTACTAACGTAGTAAATCTAAGCGATACAATACGCTATGAGAAAAAAAAATATTTCTCACGCAATGCTAGGAAATATTTCAACATGCATTTTAAACATCAGCCCAGTTATACGCAACAAGTTATTTCAACAAAGTTAAGTTACAATCATGTCGCATTCTTTTTTCCCTGCAACACTTTACATATGGAATAAATTTTAAGTATTCTATCTTCTAAGTATTCCGTACTTTGCTTTATAAAATTCACAATATGCTATAACCAATATTTTAATAAGACGCCATTTTATTGTTAATTTCGCCTAAAAAAACAGTTTCGAATGCAGTCTAATCTTAGAGTGACAGCTATACCTCCTTTGGTATAGTAACGGCACAGGAATGGTATGCGCTGAGACTTCAAATCCGACCAGGTAACGGCCCACGCCCTTGAAATACGGCAGTAAAGGCGCGCAGAAAAAAAAGCTTTATTAGTCACCCGCGTGGGTAACAACTGGCAACTTGTTGACCTTACTTATTCCGCAGTGGCGCTTTGGGCCGCTCGGAGACGTCGCGGGAAACAGGGGAAATAGAACTGTATACTCGAGTCGTAAGATTTGATTTAGTTCGTCCGTCGCGACGCGATGCCATCGTGGGAATCGTGAAAGGATATGCAAATCGCCAACGATAGGTGACATCCTTGCCGATGGACGAGTTATGTGTAGCGAGGACGGCGATGTTTGTTTGTCTTGCGAATTGCAAAAAGTGGGAAGTCCGTTTCCTAGGGGAAGTGATAAGCCATAAAGTTATCCGTTGATAGCTTCGTATCGAATTGATAGTATGGCAATACTTGGTACTACAAAATCATAGAAACCTTTGAAATCCTTCATTCCAAGTTCTGTACAGGCAATACCATCTACTTTTATAACCTATCTCCTTACCAAACACAATATTTACGATAGCATTTATATAAAAGATATGAAAAATGGAAAACTCATCAATTACCGTTATTACTGTTTGAATATTTCATTATATTTGGAGTATAGTTATAACACACTAGGTACTTTTACGGTGTTTTTAATTACGACTTTTATTAAACGAAAATATACACTCGATTTATATGTACAAACCACGAGCCCATTTTGAAATACTTTCGGAATAACGTGTTGCCTAATTAAAGTTATAAAAGTAAAACAGCCGTAGAAAATGTTGCCCACTAAAACAGTCAATGAACACGACACACGCGGCGAGATTTCACAAATTTGTCGATTGGCAACAATTTAAAACAATCGACAAGTTCCAAGGCCGCGTTACCAAAGCGCGATGAAACAATGGTCAATTCTCACGGAATGCAGAGGTGACTGTTGTGGGGATCAATTTAAGAAAAAAGAAACGAAAAATGTCGCGATGAATATATTAATTTTGTTTTAGGTACTGAAGCTAGGAATAAAACGCAAGTCACTGTTTGAGATAATTGTAACTCTAAGTGAAAAACTCCTAAAACAGTTTAAAACACAATTTACGTTAAATGAATTACTAAACTATTTTTAAAGCACAAATAGACACGTTAATGAGTATATAGTGTGATGGAATCAAACATTTCAATCTAATAATTGTCTGTTTTCTTCTAAGATATGGTATTAAATGAACTTATTTTAAATTTTACTTAAAAATTAAAAATAAACAATTTTTCGAGTGACGAGGTTATTTTATATTCCTTAATTCTGTTTTTGAAGACAGATGAACTTTGTTTGCAAATGTTTCTATAATGATATAACACTTCTTTTAGCGGATTCGTGTCGAAGTTTTTAAATCCTTTTAATCAATTTAGAAATATAAATGAAAAAAAAAATACTAATATTGCTTTAAACTTTCCACAGAATTTCCATATGTAATTTAATCTGCGCACATAAACGGTCCAAGGTCCAAACCTTGCATAAAAAACACAGACAAACAGTGCTGTGCACCATTTCAAAATATGTTATTGTATAAAAATACAGTAACCTCAGCGGTAAAGAAAGTGAAAGCATAAGGTTTTTCTCCACAAGGTGACTCCGTTTCGCAGTTGCCAAAGCATTGGCTTTCGGGTTGTGGGTTCGATTCCCACACGGGACAACTATTTGTGTGACCCACAGATAGTTGTTTCGCTTCTGGGCGTTTGTCCGCGTGAAATTTATGCATGTAAAACGTCCTTACAACACCGGATACTTGTTACCCTAAAATAAGGGCAATGATTATAAAAAAACATAAAAAAGTGTTGTCGTTAACGGCCGCGAAACGTTTAAACGACCGAATATTAACTGGGCCGTTACTAATCCCGAGCGGTTGCCGTTGCCGCTTTGGCAACGCCATCATTGAGTTTTACTGTTCGCGTGTTGTTTTGTTATTTCGCTGAAAATGTTACACCAGAGATTTTTTGTAGATCACACAGTAAGTTACTTTGGATGTGTAACCGAATCAAGATACCGAGAAGACTCGCATAAAACAATGATCGGCGATCGAAACCACACAAATACCTTTTCAGATTGAGAATCGAGCCCGTGACCTCCGCCGTCAAAGCTGACACCTTGGCAACTGCGCCACTGAGTAATGCACATTGCTCAATGTTAAAATAAAAAAAAAACCAAACCGGTATATCGATATCCGACGTAATATAGACATATTCTATAGAGCACTTTCCTTCACGAGTGTTTAAATCTTGTTATTTTTGCGAGATATTTATCCGTATCCAACATTTAGAGATATTATAAGTTAAAATTTTATGTTTACTGAAATTCACCGAGGATTTTAATAATTGCGCAACAAATAAGGACATTGTTCGCGGCCGGTTCACGCGCTTGGCAGCGAGGCGACGGTAATCTCAGCCTAGATAACTTTGCCAATCGATAGGGCAACGGATTCGTGCCATACAAATGCGCTTCTCGGATCATGCACGTACGCAATCTACCAGAGATTATATCTGTTTGCTTTACGTTTGGTTAAATACACAGTACACGTGTTCCAATGGAGGACGAAGGTCGTCAAAGTTAGGGCAAAGGTGGGTGGGACCAATATAGATCTTTGGAGCTATATTTAATTCAATAAAACATAAGTCAAATTAGAAAACCTAACGATGGCGAAAAAATATCGATATACTGATATTTTTTTATTAAATATATACATATTTTTAGCCAATATATCGATATAAAATGTTTTTTTTTCCAATGCGAATCTGGGACACAGTCCGTACATTAAAATATCGATATTCTCTCTTCGATATATCTAGGCCGATATAGCTATTTTTATAAATATCGACATATCGATATATTTCTTCATCCCTAAACGCCATTACTCTGTACGGTGGCACTCGCTGTTCTGGAAGTTTCTCAGATTAAATAAACTTTACTCACAGCCTTCGAATAGCCGCTTCCGGCGCTACCGTCCGACGAGTTGCTCAGCCGCCGCTCGCTGTTGGAGGCGGGCGGCGACCACGCAGCACCACTGTCCGATGGCATGGTCACAACTCACACCATCGTCACCACCGCGAAGCCCGACGTTAGGTTTTACGAACGCACAACACTATAGCACTTCACTGAACTGCTGCCGCGCGGTCCATTTTACGAGTACCTGTAAACGAAATACTAACAGTTAATTGTCGTAATCAAACATCAACAGTCCGTCCTTAAATATCTATCTGATCAGATTCAGGGTATTATATTATCCTTCTAATTTACAATAAGAATTAAAATTCGGCATATAAAATGGTTGCATTAATCACTGGACCATTCGCGACGCTAGCAACTCTAAAGCCATTCGAGAAACAAGTCTTCACCAAGCCACAGCTCGGCTTATTCAAAAGATAAAGAACAACAAACAGTTGACACGAGATTGCGTCGAGATTAACCGGAGCAGCGTTGCGTGTTGTAAAAGGCTTACGACAAATGGGTCGACTCGCGAGGCTTATTTGTTCTAACGTTAAACATTAAAATCTTAAGACCAACTTTCGGACGGACAGCACGTACGGAACTCGGCGCACGCATGCGAAGTTAACGGTGACGCGTGTTAAAATAAATACAACACTATTACCCCACGAAAAACGGCGCGGCGTTAAAAATAGCACGCTAATTATAACGCGCTAACAGCTTCGGTTAACGCGTCTCGCAACACGGCTCTGCTACACGTCCGTCGCGTAAGACGGCTCGCTTCAGACTGCCGGGGAGGGACAATCGTGCGATAAAAATTTCTTAATCGATATCTCGTAGTTTTTTCTCCACTTGCAACATTACGCAATGTGTTCTACTATATAAAGTTTATGGTTTACCTTTGTATCGTTTTGCTAAATCGATTTGTTCGCTCGTTGACTGAATTGATTTGGGAACAACATTTAAACTGGTACAGTGTGTTGTGATTCGAACTTTAAACAATATTCCCTTAATAATAGAAAAGACATTATATTATTAGTTATTACATTATTTGCATTATACGATTATAATTATCATCTGATATTTCAGATGATAATTATAATCGTAATAAGGTTTCAAGGATTGTACGCATTATTTGAATCAAATAACATCTTTATAATAGATAAACAGATACATAGTTATTGTTAATTAAGAAGTTGTAAAGTATTGGAAAAATGTTTTTAGTCTATCCTTACAATTAATTTTTAATTACTCACTGTTTCTTACAGACAACAAAACGGAGTTAGTACATATTAGAAAAACCTTCTTACTTAAATAAAATCGTTATTGTCAACTCTAAAATCTATTTAGGGCCCTCTAAAACATGTCGACAGCCCAAGATTTTTTTACTAGAGGTGGCCAACGACCTGGCGGTTCACTTTATAGACTTGATCAAACCTCGTAGTTACAAAATTTGCGATCATGGGGTAAACAGAGAGCGTAAGACAACACATTACACTCAGCTCTAATTGTTGTAAGCAACAGTTTGAAATTTCGATTCCTTGTCAATTTAATTGTAGCTCCATTTTTTTAAAATGTTTAAGACCTCATCGATTTCATAATGGACGATTATTAGCTTGATCACATACACAATACATAGGGTTTTTCTTGCTGGTCACTCGAAGAAAAAAGAAGGGTAAAACAGAATTATGTATAAAAGAAGACCTTGAGAAGAGAAAAAAAATATCTTGAACGTGGCACAGCGAAAACTGCATTACTAAAACTATAACTAATCAATTCATCGATATATCGGATGGCGCAGTTGCGCGGCTATTCTGTGGGTCGTAGGTTCCCAACATATATGACCTACAAAATATTGTTTAAGATATGGGTGTACTTGTACTTGTAATGAGCGTACGTGAAATGCTTCCACAACACAGAACAAACCTTTTTTTTTTTAATTATGTGAGAACATGGTAAGCAATCAGGTTCACCCGATGTCAAAAGTATAACACTCCACTTCACCCTGTCTTCTGTGAGGCCGTGGTACTTCCCCGGACGAGGCCCACCCGTGCAACGGCAGCCGTGGTAGGGCCAGCTGCAGAGCGTGGCCCTATCACGTATGTCATGTTCGAAGAGAGAAAGAGAGAGAAACAATCTTTGGTACGGAAGTAGTCAATTTGTGAGCACGTGCCGGATTACAGGTTTGCGACGTCGTGAAACAATGGGACAAGGCGAACACAGCGCGGCGAAGTTATTGCGCTAGGGTATCCCCACTGGTCTCTTTTTATCAGGGACTGGTTTATTTTTAACAGTGCCCGGCTATGGGCCCCGCGCACGTCCAATACACCGCACAATGAAGTTAGTTAAGGTATCTCTAGTGGTCTCTTTTTATAAGGGACTACTTATCACTGCTCTGAGTGTATTGCACTGAAGTTAGTTATGCCCATGACACCTCAACCGTAGAAATGATCGGTTAATAAAGCAAAAATGATCTTAGCCTAGTATGCGCAATATGAATGTTCAGATCCAACTACCGATAGCTCCCCCGCCTTTAAACGCAATGAATTGGATCAACTTCAGTTTTCATTTCAATTTTGCGTGGCGTCTTTCTACCATCACATTGGTGGTTAGTGATCAATCGATGGGGGTAAACTAGTAGAAGCCTATTCCCCCTTAAGTTGGAAAAGCATTATAATCGGCCGCAGGCAGAAATTCTGCTTCTTTGAGAATTACTTTATTCGCAACGTCACCTAAGGAACGGAAAGAGAGAAAAGAAAGAAAGACATGTTGTAGTGCTTTAATACCACACCTATGGAGTTATCATTTCTACTTTAGATACGAGTACAATCCATTTAGATTTAATATTGTTAAGTTATTACATAAAAATTGAACATTTACGCTTTTCACGCCGTAAGAGATGAACAGACTGAAATTAAATTTAAAATTGAAATATTTTAAAAGTTGCTTTAACGCATAAGATTTTTAGCCAGGAACGGTAAACTATTCTTCAATTTAAAGTATTGTGTTTGTAAATTATACTGCTAATTTCATCCCGTTAAAATAATTGTCACCCTACCATCGGAGCACTTTCTACGGCGACAGTCTCGGGATTGCGGCCCGTACCAGTTCCGAATTGGAAACTGGAGCACCTATTTCACTAGCAATAAGGTCTAGATTCGATGCCCGATTTACGGCTTATTGTTAAGGATAAACCGTTCTAACGGGAGAAATCTGCGGTCCTTTTGCGTGGGCGTCCGATTCGGTGCGTACTCGCGATATGATAATTCCGCCGCCGCTTTAGTGTTGGCAAAGTGACTTAACGGGACCATAATGGAAATGCAGATTGTCAATTAGTGTCGGTACTTAAGGGCGATAGTAATAATAGACTGATTGGTTCGAAAATGTACCAATCCAGACTTGATAGCACATCTAGTGTAGTGAATATTCTAGCCGAAGACGTGGTAATTAATGTTAATTCCTCATTAAACTAGAAACATAAGTTCATTAGAAAGTACACAAATCCCCGCCCACGGGTGTAATCTTGGAGGTGTATCTTGCCCATGGAATTCGTGTAAATAAAATAAGTCAATAATTGTGATGACCCGATTGGCCTAATGGGTCTGCAATTAACATGAGGTGCATCGCCTGCTCACTTGGAAAATTTTCACAAGAGAAAATAAAAAACCGGTCAAGTGCGAGCTGGACTCGCGCATAAAGGGTTCCCGTGACCAAAACGTGAAAAATGGCGAAAAAATCATGTCTGTTGTATGGGAGCCCCAATTAAATATTTTATAATTCCGTTTTATAATATTTGCTGTTTTAGCGGCGACAGAAATCACGGTTTATGAGATACAGCCTCGTGACAGGACAGACATGTGTGAAAATTTTTACTGTCTAACTATCACGGTTCATGAGAATGATACAGCTGGGTGACAGACGGACAGACAAACAGACAGACAGACAGCAGTGACTTACTAATAGGGTCCCCTTTTACCGTTTGGGTACGGAACCCTAAAAAGTGGACAGCGTCAGGCTAATGACGATGATGAAAGCCTTTCGAAGACCACACATGTTACCAGTTAAATGCCGCCGTAGGTTCGAACCCCGCACTCGGCGCGAGACGTCGGTCGGCCGAGCTATATGGGACGGATCGCTTCCGTGAGCCCGACAGCGAGTGTAACGGCCGAGAACTGGACGGTATGCGTCGCCCGTTAAGTCCACTCCGTACAGCTAAGCGACACGTACGTGCTGCAAGAGGTGAATACAATCGCGGCGTTTTTATCGGTGCCGCGATTACGGGACTCGAGTCGCTCAATCCCGGCTTCCCGGGATCGCTCCGGGTGACGAGTATGCACTGTGGGACGTATAAATAAGTGGAGAATACGATTGCGGGCGTTTAATCGATAATTACGGGGTCTTTTAGGTGTTGAGATTTCGGGTGTGATTCAGAACTTGACAATCCCTCCACCCTACCTTGGCTCTTCCTTCGAGGATTCACGCCCGATTTCTGAAACACTGATCATCGTAGATGTTAAACAATCACCGGTCAAACGGCTTTTCAAATTTCATTTTAGTTGCCAAAAATATGGTTAAACTCTCTGAATTGACCAGAATTAACATCTACTATGATCAGTGTTTCATAAAACGGGCGTAAGAGTTCGTATTTTAAAATGTATCTAATGTAGTAAAAAAAAGGTGGATAAACATATATATACCTACCTACTTCTTATGTTTAAGTAAGATACTACACACACTTCATATAAGTGTGTGTAGTATCTTACTTAAATGCGTACAAGACAAACATGATGAAATCATTCGCCTTAGGAATTCATTCATCATCAACGACATAGCCCGAGCAATTATATATTAATCACGAACCGCAGTTTTCCGAGATGACGTTAAGGAAATGCTTTGCTTATATTACACACAATAAAAATAATCTTATACGAGTAACCCAGTAATAGAAGAGATTATTTATAGTGTTATGTTAGAGTTTAAGTGGGGGTATATTAGCCTAAAGATTCATGAATAAACAGTATTATTAACGATTCCATCTTGATAGTGCAGCCTAGTTAACATCATGGCCATGTAACGCATCCTTTTTTATGGGACAAGGTGGCAAGCCAGCTGACGGTTCACCTGATGTTAACCGCTACCCATGGACATTCGCAACGCCAGTAGGGTCGTAGATCATTTGCCACCTTTTAATAAAATGGGCCCCGGCTCACTCAACAAACGAAACGCGAAAGGTAAACAATTACACTTCACACCGCTCTTCTGTGAGGTCCCAGACGGACCTTCGTTCGTGCAGCAAAGAACCTCCTAGGGCAGTGTGGAAGACCCCGGTGTGTGTGTACAGCAAATAATTGCGTGGCCGCAACATAGATGGAAGGTCTAAAGTTAAAACTGAACGAATTATAAAACATTGAAGCAACAGTAGATCAATTACCAATAAACTTATCATCTCACACTTTGGATGATCAGTTAACGTGAGGTTTTAAAATCTGGAGAGTCCTAAAATGACTTATGTCGAGCACGTCACCGTAAACCTTAACGATTGTTAGACTGATTCGTACATTTCCTCATGGCCACCACAATTTGTTAAAAGCCTTTCGTGTTAGAGTCACTGCCTCAATTGTTGTTTGAAAGAGCAGATTAATCCAGGGGTTACACGACACAGAATACTTTTTACGTAAGATAGAAGTATTCGTACTTGGTCAATGAGGTCAATGGGGACCTAAATCTATAAAGATGGCAAGGCCATTTGAAAGCACACAAGATGTTTGGGCAGTAATCCTTTAACTTGTGAACCACCAGCCTTGCCGCCTCCGACCTCGATCTGGTGCCCAAAACCATAAACGGGAGACTGTTCGTGGTCATCAAATGTGTGGGTCGCGACCTTCGTTGATCATGAAGCCATGACTAGTTTCTGGCTGGTGATGAATTCACGCCAAGTTCTTTTCGACACGTCACCGGCAACTAGCATCGCGGAGAGCGGACAATGATGCACCGTACCCGCGAGGTAACTAAGCAAATGGACCGTAAACATGATAAAATCTGCTATATAAAGCTGGACGGGGTCCAAACGGGAGTGTTTAGTGACGGTCGGGCGATAAAATCTGATGGTGACTCAAAACCACCATCGGACGCGTGCGTTGGCTCATAGCTGTGAGCTGAGTACCGATCTACAGGTCGCGCGACAGTGTTACAACAGTACGGGTGACTCCCACTATTGAAGAGCTGATTTTGACGTTACATTTACAACAAATTGCAACCTTCCTTGACTATTTTTTTTTTCATTACGGCAAACTTTACGCATTGTTACGTGAAACTATTTTACGTATCGTCAATTACTTGTTACCAACACGTAATAAATGTAAAAAAAAAAAGTACCACAGCTAGGCAAGGCCTCATCTGTACAGATGGCATGAGTCCACAACGCGATACCACTCCGTATTGGTAGACTTCAGATATCTTCGAAACACTTTTTTTGCTATTACTTCGAAAATATGGTTGTCCACGTTTTCCTTCACCACTTAGCACGTAATAAGTCGGCACTTAAAATTGCAATTAAATATCATTGGTGTCGGCACCGGGATTCGGTGCTAGAGTATTTAAGACTATGTTCGCGTGAAGTTCAAAACGCCCCTCCTATTTAATTTAACAACGCTCACGCCCGGTTTCTGAATTACTGATCATCGTAGAAGTTAACTGATCAGCTGTCAAGTGGCTTTTCAAATGTTATTCGAGTTGCCAAAAGGATTGTTTAACTCTGAAATGATCAGAATGATTTTCTTAATGATCAGAATGGTCAATTCAAAAAGTTTAAAGTTAAAAACAGTTTTTTTAGTTTATCAGCAAAAGTCAACAGTGACCAAGCCTCTAGACGTGATAGTCACCGAAATAGCGCCTGCGAACGCGGGGCCGGGCACACGATTAGTGTCTACACTTCCTGCCCAATACCGGCCGACCCAGATGGCGTGCTCTTGAATCGGCGCTGTTATAGAATGTTTATCCATCGAGTCGCAATTTCCTATTCAACTCAGACTAAGGAACGTACCTGAGCTGCTTAAGATGAATACTGGCTGCGGATCTCGATTAAGAAACGGTAATAAAACAAGTGTTAATTGTATAAAAAGCTTGGGCTTTATAGATTCTACAGTTTTTTTTTTTTAAGTAATTAACGACTTCATCACTATAAGATGATTCCTCTTTCACGGTGCGAGAATGACGTCACGGACACAATGCATACCAAGATTCAGCTTTGAATCCACAAATGGGTGTGAATTGGCTGCTAGTTGTTGTTAGTTGTACCCGACCTATTGTTATGTGTAACGCAATCTAACTTAACCCGTTAAGCTATCCGCGCCTCAAATGTGTTATTGTATTGGTCATTATCAAAACCTACTACCTAAATTTGCGTTATAACAACTTAACGTACGTTGGCAAATATCTTTAGCATAGACATATTGACGTGCAGTTCAAAATCTAAATAAACGACATCTTTTTGTGATTGCTATTTTTTCCTATTTGTCATCCATATGTGGTTCAAGCAGTCAGAAAATATCACCGGGCTTTTTAGGAGCATGAATCAAGTATCGTGTTCCGTATCTTGTGTAAGCAGAGTGAATTGTTGAAACAAACAAGATTTAACTCGTCAATTATTTCTCACAAAAACCTTTATAGGCTAAAGACTAACTGACAAAAAGGTGAACACGTGTGATTTCTGCTCGAGTGGATTATGCAAAATATGCGCGGAGACAAGCTATCAGAATAACATTAACCGAATGGTCGGGCGAGAGTTTAGGGTCGGGTCGTAAAATTCACATACGGGGACACTGCTTTCTTATTCTTATGTTTACAGCCACCTCTGTACCGGGTTCAACAACGCAATATTTGTTCTTCTTTTATAAGAGCAAGTGGCGAACGAGCTGGCGGTTCACCTGATGTTAAGTGATAACCGCCGCCCATGGACATTTGCTTCGCCCACAGAGATACTGATGCGTTGCCACCATTTGATAAAGTGGGCCCCGGCTACCTCACTCACAACGGAACACATCTGCTTCGAACAAAACGTAACACAGAAGTGTAACACATCTACTTAAGGCCGGTCTTCTGAGGTCGTGGTACTTACCCGGACGGACCTGCCCAGTCGTGCGACAGCGAACACCGTTGCGTGGCCCTACCACAGTGAAATTTATTTATGTGAATAGAATTACGCAAATTTCGATAGTCCAGCAAAGCTGTGGTAGGGGTAGGCCACGCAGCAGCCTCGGCTGTTGCACGAATGGGCAGGCTCGTCCGGGGCCTAACGGAAGACCGGCGTGAATTGGAAGTACTACTATTTGAGTGAGTTAGCCGGGGCCGACTTTATTAATGTTAACAATGCATCTGCAACCCGGGTGTTCAAGATTCCCATGGGCGGTAATTAACTTAACATCGACTGAACCCACTATTCGTTAGCCAACGTTTAACATAAAAAAGTTCGAAGGTTTTCATTTAGCACTGTTATAACACTACTCCATATATTTATAGTATATGGGTGCGAGGTTTCAGTGGTGGTATTTCTGGAAAATATGCTTGCAATCTGATAAGCGTGTTTGAATTCCAACACGTTGACATTTAGATCGGAGCACGAATACCTAATGTGCCTAGACTAGTCTCTTTCGTTCAAACTTTGAGTATGCCTAATCATTGAGAGCTAGCTATCAAAGAAATACAGACATACTCAAGGCTTTACTCACACCCAATAAGAGAAAAAGGAAAAAAATAACTGTTGCTGCATCAAAAAATGCATGTGCAATAGTTTCTTTAACAACAATTAGCCATAGGGTGAAGATTCTTACTTCTTTTGTTATTTCATTTAAATCGTTTATTAATTGTATACAACTACCAAGTTTAGTACTTTTCTGTTTATTATTTAACACTTTTCTTCGGAACTTGTAATGCTACACCAAATTTTCAATTGTGAAAACTAATTAACTTGACCTTAATTTGTTTAAATTTGATCACACAATCACTGTTCTAGCAAGTGGTTATTCATACTGGTTCGCTTGCTTTTTAAATAAAATAAGGGACTTAAGAAATCCACAAGTGAGCATCTACCACTTACTGCACCACAACAAGCCATGACATAAAGAATCTTTCACAACAATCCACTATCGCTTAAGAAAATTAAAAGTCATTAAAAATATTCGAACGGCGAAAACGTAAACAGATATACAGTGCAATCAATTAAAACTAATAGGAAGTAAATTGGTTCTGATAAAGAGAAAAACACAGACAAGTTCTGACGTAGCCGCGAAAAGTATGAGTTAAGTGAGGGCTCTTTTAATGTCACTTGACTCCAGGATGCAGGAAGTCACTGCAGACGACCGTCAACTGCAATGGACATATATTTATAAAAGTGCCAATGCTGCAAAAAAAAGCAAATGGGACTGCAGAAATGTTATAAGAACTACTTGTTTCGCTTTTTCTGCAACAGCCTTATTTAGACATAGCTGCTTTCGTCATAAACGACAAAAAGTGACATTTGAATAAATTTCAATACAGTATAAACATGCTAGAGTAATATTTAGTCAGTAACACGGTAATTTTAATGAAAATCTTCGTTATACGAAATTGAATCTTACGTATTCTATCACATTATGATTGTAGGTATAATATTATATATTGTCAAAATGATTATATTGATTAACTTCTTTTCAGTTCAAGATGATTTTACCTCGTAATTCTTGAAGTGACTCCTAGTTATTTAATTATCAACCACCATCCCGGTATCGTATTAACCTTTATTGCACCTACTATACACAAAATTATCTAGTCCCGAACTAAGCAACGCTTGTACTATGGGAACTGGATAACTGATAAACATACATAATAATACTTTTCATTTGTAAATAAATACATATGAAAATAAAAAATAAACACTGGAAAATCACTATGCTCATCACACAATATTCTTCCAGTAGTGGGGATCGAATCCACAGCCTCAGGCGCAAGAGGCTCACTACGCCAATCGGGTCGTCGTCAAATATGGGCTTAACGAATCACGAATCTCATATACTGTGTTAACTCTAATCGGTGGCCACTTGATCTTGACGTAGACAATTTGCCAGCTCCGCGACCCGGACGTGTCAACACTTTCGTGTACGTCGCAGGCCTCTCGCTAACTTCGCCACGGGCGCGGATCGTCGACGGGGAAATCCGAATAAATTTGGAGCCGACCGAGTAAATCGACGGGCCGTGGGCCCCGAAATACCACTTTCGCTGGAGCGCATCCATCACAACGCAGCGGCGAAACGCAGCTCGGACGGACCCAAATTATTTAAGCGAGCGCCGAGATAGGGCCGACGGCTCGACAACTTTCGATTTTGCCGCCCTTAATTGGCGGAGCGAGTTGATCCGCGGTCGACGGCCGCCGGGTGCTTTATCGGTGATCGGATTTATGACGCGCTTGTAACATTGTGCGTGTACACTTTCAACCGATTTCAAAAAAGGAGGTAATCAATATAGTTGTATTTTTTTATATTTGTTACTTCAGAACGCTGTCGGTTTTGAACAGATTTTCAAGATTGTTTCTGCATTGGTTTCGGTTTAGAACCCATGTTATATATTAATATCAACGGTAGTTTATTAGTTCCATCAAGGATCTCCTCAAAAAAATATAATCGGTGTTTGCACTCAGTAGTAGCAGTAATTAATTAGACGTTATATACAAACAAAACTCGTAATACATAGATATGTATATCATAATTTCTACTTACCGAATTACTTTTACGGAATGCTGTTAAACGTCTGTAAGCTTAATTTGTATTTTTCTCATCTGCTACTGATATTCCTAATAAAAAACCGACTACAATCAGAAAATGAATAGCATTGTTAATACCTATAAAATTCAATGATGGCCCTCGATTTCTCTGGGATGCCAACATCAGTTCCGGGTTTATCATGGTACCACCCTTGGGATATCTCCTTTCCGACAAAAAAAAAGAATCATTAAAATCAGTTCATAAACGACGAAGTTACCCACGAACACACATAAAAAAAATATATACGGTTCAATTGAGAAACCTTCTCCTTTTTTGAAGTCGGTTAAAATAACCATAATAAGATAATCGAGAGATGAATCTCGAGAAAAGTAAATACAAACCAGTCTTTCAAACATTCACTACCGAATTTAAGAACACCAAACGAATCGATTTCGAACCGAAGCATGAGTAGGTATCTGAGCAAAAAAAAAGGTTTTTTTTCAATCGCCCTAGCAACAGGACGCATAAGGATAGAGCCTTGCATAGGCCAATCCTAAATACCATTAATTCCTTCGCCTAAGCCAGTCCCGTAAAAGGCAGTGCCTACGTCCAGAGCCTTGTATCTATTTGTGACGAAATCGGCTACCTGTACGATGCGTACCGATAGCTCTTTTAAGTAACATTGTTGAAGATAATTAGTTTTGGTTTATTGCATACTAGCTGCTGCCCGCGACTACGTCTGAGTAGAATAGGCTGAAGGCGTAACATTCCGACGGAAAGACAGATATACATAAAATATGTATATTAATTATAGGCAATGTCTTATTCTGATGTATAAGCTATAATATTGTAAAGTTTCATTAAAATCCATTCAATAGTGTTTGCGTGAAAGAGTAACAAACATCCATGCATACATACAAACTTTAACCTTTATAATATTAGTAAGGATTCTAATTGAAATATGTCTTTAATAGGGAAATCGTATTAAATGCAGACGACCAGTAAATAAATTATTAAATGTACGTGACAGAATGCGTTTATGATACCCTTGTACTGAACTTCAATGTTATGGTTGTAACGACAAACGTTTACAGGTTGGCAAAGCGCAAATGAAGTTTGGGCTTTTAAATTTAGTCTTTTTACTTTGTTTAAGAAAAAAAATATCATTTATAATTATTTAATCAAATTCGGGGTGTTCTCCGTAAGTGAATAAATCGAGATTCTTTTAAATCCCGTCACTTCAACTTAAAGTATGTTTCAAGGTAAAA